ATGAGTTCTGGACAATGCAGAAAGAAAATGCTCATCAAATCTCTTTTATATTTGCATTTCTATACAGAATAACCAACATGGGGGTATGAACGCTTAAACATCCTGGAGCTGATAATAACAATACAAGCCTCAGAAAAAAAATTTCTGCACTTATTCGATGTCATATTTAGTTTTTACAAGTTGTGAAGAACCAGATCTCAGAGTTATTATAACTCTCTCTGCTCCATATGAAGGATAAAAAACATACGGATTTTGCAGTCTCCTAAAAGTTATTACTTCTATTACTGCAGATTTAAACACATTCATTGGCTAAGAGATATTATTCTCTTATTATTCTCCACATTCCAGCACCATCTTCTATGGATCCATAGGTAATATCTTACGCAAGATCCGTCTTTCAAAAACTCTTAATTTATTTTCATCTCGCGTCGACAGAGTTCATGCTTCAAATTCATATGTTGTTCTTGGTCTTATAAGAGTGCAATACTGAGTTTCGATTTTCTGTATAGTATTTTACTCGTCATTAGGTGTTTATAGGCATAGTAGCACATTTTACCACAGAGCATTCTAAGCTCTGTTTCTTCAGTGACATTATTTGCTCCGTTTACTCTGGATCTCGAATATATGATATGATAGCTTTGTACTCGTCAAGATTGCTGACGACATTAAGTACAGTTGTGATGACCGAAGGTTGACTCAGTTAACTCGGCCACTGATTTTCTGTGAACTATACTGTTTGATTTGGCTCGTACCTTTCTCACCACTCTCTGTATATACCATAATGACCCAGAGTAGCATGTTAAGTTCGGTATTCTTGTCAATTTTTATAAACAGTGTTACAAAATTAATTTCATACAACCATCAACATTTTTGACACATCAATAATGCTATAACTTATAACGTTGTATTGTTTTAGTGATACACAACTATTTCTTGATGGCCATCCTATATATTTCCCATATAAAGCCAAAAACTCTGGAGTACTTCCGGACTTCGTAACGTATCATGGCGTTTCCAATTTCAGTCCACCAAGAAAGTTTACTTCTGTTTCTCTTGTCTGTATAAACGAGGATGCAAATTATCATGTTTTCTAGGACATGGCATGGTAATCAACGCAGAATACTATTAAGAGATAGGATCCTTTCCTCTCCAAAAATGTAATAAAATATTTAGACAGAAAAAGTGACAAGTTTACGCATATTGAGGATACAAGATGACTTCTAAAAAACACAGTACAGCGCACAAAAAAGACTAATCAAGAAAGCAGACAAAATGATAAGTCCCACTACTTCCACAAAAAAAGAAAATGATGTTATTACGATTTTAGAATCTCACTAGGATATGGACAAAAGATCAGGAGAGGAAAGTAGTGAATTATGGTCAACAGAGTAAAGCAAAATATTTTAATGTAATTAAGCACACTCTAGAAGATGTGGAAAAACAATAATGGATATTAGATTAGGCACGAGGAAAGGGTGTTGACTATGTAGAAATGATTGGGAAGAGATAACGATAGGTAATAAAGGCCAAAAACAAAAGGATTTGAAAGTTATAGTTGTGAAGTAATGTTATCAATAACTATATTAATATATCAGATATAAATAAGATTCATTAGAATCATCCAAAAACCTACAATCCCTTTTAATCTATTTGTTATTTATTTATTTTGTTATTTAGTTGTTTTGTTATCCAGTTATTAAATTGGATAACTTTGTAGCACAATATTTATAGATTATAGAAATCTATAGGTGTTCAATAAACTTCATTTAGCGTCTAAACTAAACAATTTCAAACAAAACACCTTCAGGATGGATTTTAAATCACCGAGTAGACTGAAAAATAACAAGAGAAAAAAGCAAAGACTTTCTTAGACATCTGTTTAGCTCAAGATTCTTTGTTCTTGCACAACTTAGTGATTGCCATTAATTAAAAATCCATCTACGCAATTTCATAATCAATCTACAAGGTGACTTTTATTACTACATTTACTACAGTATAACTTATAAAATATTATTAGAAATGAAGTAAAATTATACTAAAATCAAATTAATGAAACTTTGTAAAAACAACTGTGCACCTAGTTTTATTACCAGGAAATCGAATTGTTTGAGAAAGATAATAAATATCGTTTGAAGGTGTGTAAATTTTGACTAAATGTTTAAACCATGATTAAATATTAGTATAACATGTCATTTTGCAAATAAAAATTATCAATTGTCTAATTATATTGAACACAACAAGAACTGTGTAAAATATGATGCAAAAACTGATTATTAAAACTAATAAATGAAGAGGAAGTAATTTATACCATGCTACAACAAACATATGAGATGAAATAATTACTGCATAGATATCAATTAATTCAATTAAAAGGACATTCAACCCGACTATCATTAAAACATTAAACACCACATTAAACTTATGATTAAGCATATATAGCTTCAGTGAAATCTGTCAAAATAAGCAAGGTTGACTTATCCCGGTAAAATATCTACCGTCAAATTTTTCTAGCAATCTTTAGCACAACTAAACTGTTTTCTGAAATCGGATTCCTTAGCTAGTAACATAGAATGTTCTTCTATTAATGACTGTTATTCAATCATTACTCTCCCTAATAGCTTTTCGACAGTGTTAACTATTTTTAAATGAACTTATATATGGCAGATCTTTATAGAGGGTGCTGGATTAAATTTTAATGGACCTCACGCTAAAAGATCTCATATTTAGCAAACGTCTTTATATGTGATCAGTTGACAGTTCACGAAACTCAATCTTCACTGACACGTTTCTAACACCATTAGATACTAAAAAACGCATCCGGATCGGGTAAACGTGGAGGCTTGCAAACACTGAACGTTTTGCCAAATTATGTTCAACAAAAGCCCAACATACTCAGGAAATTTGGTCAGAATTTGGTGGTCAAAAATGTTACTGTCTTCATGGGGAGACCATGATAGCAAAAACAGCAAGACCTATGAAATTGCATTAATACAAAAAGTTTTGTGTCGATAAGATTCATAACATAAGTCAGGTTTTACTTTTTTATCAAGAGAAAAAGCACTTGCTCGTATAGACGAGTTGTGGCTATAAATTCTTACATTTCTTGAGATGAAGCAATATTATTTTTATAACCTTTTTCGGTACAAATTTTGGAGCAACCTCAACTACTTTTTAACTACACCTATCAATTTTACATACTAACATGTGAAAATAATCTCTCAGTTACTTTTCTGCCTTGATGCATAAATAACTAGTCTTGGTTATTTTTTAAAGATAACATAATCGTGTTTAGGTTTAAATTTTAAAACGGTTTACTTTGATTTGATTAAGCAAGAAGGAAAACAATTTTTTTCTAAAAATAAAAACTGATTAAAAAAAATGTTGAATAAGGGAGATATGATTTGTGGATAACAAATATAACTTAAAAATCGTCAAAATATAAAAAGTAACATTTTTTTACATATTTATTTACGTAGCAAACAATTTTTTAGGTTAATAAACGTTGTGTATGGTTCGAATCAGATAATTTTTATGAATATCATAACAAAAATCAATATGCCTTTGTGTAGAATGGAAAAACATGGGAAAAATGCATAAAATATTAAGTAAAGTTGAGAAAATGTTGTGAAAATGAGTCAACCTGTTACACTCACGTTGTTTAAAACGATTCATAAATATTAATTTATGGGCGTATAAGACAAAAAAACTTCTTGTGTAAGTTCACATAATTATTGAATTTCCGTGTTAATTATTATCGAATAATTTAAATCTAAAATATCATCTTTAAATATTTAAAATGATTTCAAACAAAAAAAGGTCAATATATGTCAATTACAATCTATTTATGTATCAATTTAAAACCGACCCACTCATCCTGATTTAATCAACATCTTTAAAAGTATTTCACAATTTTTAACGTTTTCTTTTTTATAAATGTAGTAAACAATTTTGTGTTGAAATTTTTTTACTTTATATTGAAAAGAATTTACTTACCCAACTGTTATCTTTAAACACGGACATATTTTATTGTTATCATCCAATATTAACGTTTTCCACACAATAACCCAAAAATAACATAAAAAAAGAGAACCGCACTTAATTATCCATTGATCTATTGGCTTTTATCACAAAAGTGCGCACATTTTCCGTTTAATTTGAATGATATAGATAAGAAACCAAAAAAACAATTCTTTGGCGAATTAAAATGTTCGATTTCGGCGGTAAATTTCAAAATGAAACGATCCATACATCGTTTTGAACCGAATGATTGTAAATTCGCGTTTGATTTTCTTCGTATTTTAATTAAGGGTAATATTTATAATAAATAATAACTTTTTGATACAACACTTCGTTTCAAAAACCAACAATTGACTGATTGAAGTACCTCCATACAACCCATACCAGTTACCTGTAGCGGTCCCGTCACACTTTCTAATTGGTCGAAACCGCCACGTGACACCGTTTGCGATTGGTCAAAATTTTAAATAAACAATACAATTTGTTATACAAAGGTCATCCGAGGATCTAACACACTTCCTCGTATTTATTTCATTCGATTAGGATGATTTTATTGTTTAAAACATAAAAACAATATCAATTCATTTTAGTGTTATGAATATTTCCACGTGGATATTATTTAAATTGTTTTGCTTTGATAACGTTGATTGATTTTCTATGAAATGATATCATAGAAAGCGGAAATTATTAATAACAATTATTATTTATTGTTTAGGTATTATATTTTAGGTACCAAAATCTCTACCAAAAATTTAAAAAAGGTAGGCATCTTAATTTGGTTTCTGTAAAGAAGGTTGCCTATTCATTCAAAATTTTTATGATTCTATGTGATAATATTAATAGTATTACTTAAAAGTATTTAAGTCCTTTCTAACAAGGTCTGTTATATACTGTAATGAATTAAAATGTTAATTACCTATATATTCCATAAGTTCATCAAAAGGAGTAAAAGGAGTTTCTAAAAGGGTTAGAATTTTCCCATATTTTGATGAATATGAATACTTTATTCTTTATTTTTATTAAAAACTTTCTTATTTAGGAACGAAATGTCCCCTACATTTCCTACTATTTTTAGCTTTATCTATATCAACATCAGGATATTGCTCTTTAATAGCTTCAAGATCAATATTTGGGAATCTTTTAAGTAACCCAATAACATGATTAAAGTTTCTCCTACAAAAAAAATGTTTTAAAACATCAAATTTAATTTATCCCAAAACAATAAACTTACGTCCTAGCTCTTCTCCTTTCCAAAAACTTCTTTTCGTTATATTTCAACAAAAATTCATTAACATCCTTTTTGTTGCAACGAAAAACGTGTGTTTTCTTCCATTTAACATTCATAAATTTGGGAATAACATATTCCCGCTTTTTATAATAATAATTTAACCCAAACACTCCTGCTTTGTATTCTCCTGGTCGCTCGCCGGTTTCACCAGTTTCTAATAAATGATAAGCTTTATTTCTTTCTCTTACAACCGTCTCAACATTTTCCATAGAAATTTCTACTTTATCAATACGTTCGGGGCTTGGAAAAAGCTTCGTTTGACGTTTACTTTCTTCTTCCATAGTTAATAACATGTTCCGTTCTTTCAATAAAACGTACCATAATTTGTGGAGATCTGAATTTGATTTTAAACGCAGTTCCTCTACTTTCCATGCTCGCCCAGATTTTACTTCTTCCAAACCCCAATTTTTCTTTATATCAAAGAATTCGGTGAGGTCTTGTAACTTATTTGTGGTGGTGAGGGATCTAAGAGGTTATGTTGTTTTAACTCAAATCTTTTATTAATTATGATTAATATTTTAATTACCTTAATAAATTCGTTGGGGCTGTGTTATATAGGATGGGAAAAGTGTTTGAAATCGATTTATAAAAGATTGGTAAAGTTTTTAGTGTTCTAAACAGAAACATTTTTGAGGTTAGATTTAATTTAGGTTAGAAAATTTAATTTTAAGAAATCTTGTGGTTTATTTAAATAATTAAAATAAAATTATTTTTAAATTACACAATCATCAAATAATCATTTTAAATGAATATAACGAATTTTTACAAATAAATAAAATAAAAATAAAATAAAATTTGATGTGTATAATGGGTTGCCTATTTATCAGGTTTTTTTATTTAAAATTTATTTTTATTTTTATAAATTGAATCTTAAACAAATTAAAATGATTAATATTTTTTTTTTATGTTTAAAATGAGTCATAATATTATTTGTGTTGTGAATTAAATCAAAGGGTTTTTATTTTAAATTTTTGAACTAATTTATTTATAAATATCCGTATAAAATTTATTAAATAATTTAATTACACATACATTCTACATAAATAAAGTCTTAAACGTACTTTTTCTTTTTATATAAATATCTTACACACAAATAGTTTTAAAGAAAAAAAGTCTAACAGATATATGAGCACTTTGGATCATCAACCTTTCATTCATCTTTATGATCATTTTCATCCAATTTTTGTTGTTACATTTCTTATTTTTCATAACCTAGGTATAGAAGACATCGCGTTTGCTTCCTGTGTTGTTTGTTGAGCGTATTTCGGCCTACACACGCAACCGCTTTCCACCAAAACGTAATCTTGACCAGTTAAAGTGACCGGACCCAATGGGATCACCAAAAATAAGTACGGAACGTAGGTTTGGGTGCATTCTCCTCTGACTACGTCACATTCTGAACTTTCACAAACCTAAATTTAAAAAAAAAAGTATTATTTTAAAGAAATTTTAAGCAAACAAATTTGATATCAACCTCAAATACAACTTGTTGAAGTAGATCAGGAAATTTTTGAACTATAGTAACGGGTTGACCGGAAGTCAAAGACACGCCATACATTGGTGCGGTCGTGTTGTAACGGGTTTTGCATAGTCTCGAGGGAGTGGACGTGCACGTCGTCGCCGGCGTGAAATTCAACTCTCTACCTGGAAAATGAACAAAACGGATGCCACCATCAATTGAGATAATGATGAGAAAACGTGAAGATTGGATATGATAAAGTAGGACGTTTTGGCGAACGTGGGAAGATCAAAAAAGCAAAAATTAACGCGTTTTGATGTTTGTTTGTTCGCGAAAAACAAACGAAGAAACTCGCTAAACAAGCATCGAACGACCCAAATTTTACCGTAACTCGACCCAGTTCGATTCCTGTCGTTTATGGCTATCTATACTAAAGTAGAAATACGGTACTTTATAGATTTTTTTGTTCATTTGGTCAAGGTTGCGGTTCAAGAAAATAAAAAACCGCCATTTTTGAGTTTTAATAAATATAGTTTGTGAGTTTTCTCACTATCTATGTGATGGCGCCAACTAAACATTAAAAAACCTCCACTTTCGTTCGTAATATAGTACTTTTAATCAGTACCTGGAATGCGGCATAGAACTTTCGATGTTAGAAAGTCAATAACGCGGTGATTTACCGGACCCCGCTTTTCTTCTATACCATTGTCATTTTTTTTATTCAATCGTTTCTTTCTTTTACCGTTTCGTTTCAACGGAAATCGTTTCTTATTAATTTTTAATTTTTCCCTGACATTAATCACCGTACTACTTTCGAAATTAACCCAAAAAACATTATTTTTAACCTCATTCTTACCTGATCTCGTCATCGACGAGCTATCATCGAATGTTCTTTGATGCGCCGCTAGAAGAGCTTTCCTGGTTACTTCCGGATCCATTACGTGCGATGCAAACCTTCCTACACGTGAGCTTCCTGTCCAAACGTTTGAACTTTTAAACGACCGATTAATCGCTGATCTAAAAAATTATTTATTAATTCGTTATCGGATTAAATTAGTTCAAAATTACGAAGGATATGGTAGATTATTAGGTCCCAAACAATCCGAAGAATCTGATAACGCATCCCCCCAAAGATATTTTAACCCATTTCCACCTTGACATTTTGTTGGTAATTTGCCTAATGTTTGTGTAAGTGTGCTTATTAATATCGTCGCTATCTATAAATCAAAAGAAAAAAAGTTATATTTATGTGCATGAATAACTTTAGTAATTTTAAAGCAGGTGGTAATCCGTGTCGAAGTAACGTGAAGCAGATAATCTATATTAATTGACTCTTCGCTAGATACTAATTATGAAACGGAATAAAATAAAAAGAGGAAGAATAAGAAAACTGTTTAGAAAATCAGATCTTTATATTACTATATATGCAGCGAGCTACGTATATTCTAGGTTATGGTACCGTTAACGGGGATCTCTAGCGCGCCATTATGTTTAACCGTAAGCAATCCGCTCATAGATTTTCATTAAAAAATGATGAAGGAAAAAGAAAGAATCTCGCAGCCGCGGCAAATTGCGGGATATTCGCCGCGCAGTTGGCAATCTCCGTCAAGAAATTATCTCCATAGCTCGACGGAAGCGCCGGGAAGTTCCGCAATGCGGCCACGAGAAGGAATTATCCGAGAAAATTGTTTAAACAAAGTAGGCGAGAAAATTTCCCAACCTACATTTTAATTTACTTTTCTCATTTCCATGTTGTCGGAAATCCCAAACAATTGTTCTAGGGAGATATAACTAACACTTCACGTCCGTTCCATCGCACCGGAAATAGTTTCATTTAAAATGTCCTCGATTTTATTACTTAATAACTTAATTAAAAATCTTGTCAAAATTAGCTTTGATAAATTTATCTATATTATCCATAGAGAACTACAATTATGCATGCTTTATATGTAAATGAGAAAATTATAAATTTTATAAGTCAAAGGCAAGGTGAGTAAGCTTTTATACAAGATAATGCAAGTGTTTCAAGATTACGTATTAAAAATTTCAAGTAGGGTAATGGCTTCCGGTAATAACGAGAGTCTCAATCTGGTAGAAAAGAAAATTATGGTGCTAAATCCAATGTTATTATGACTATCCAATTTGATTGGTCAATCAATACTGTTATAAGCCTTTCTTGATGCAAACTTAAGTAAAGCAGTTAATTCTTTTATGTCAAGATCGAAATCTACTCCTGAACTTAGGTGTCTCTCATCCTCTTCCATATCACTTTCCTGCCATTTTCATAATGTCATCCACCCAACGTTTTTGTGGGCATTCTACATTTTTTTTAGTTTGTCTTGGTCTTTACACTCCACTCTATATGCCCACCTGTCACTAGCCAGCCTGGTCACATGCCCAGCTCATTATCATTTCATCTTAGGCAATTCTTGAGTAATATCAGCAATCTTTGTTTGTTTGCTGATTTTTCGTTTCTTATTTTATCTCGTAGTGAGACGTCTAACATACATCACTCCAAGAAGTTTTAAGTAACAGAAAATGATAGTATTAGATTATGAAAATTATGTTTGGAACATAGAATAATGTTGAGAAACTCATAGATAATGCTGAATTAACCAATCACCAAGCAATTTATCAAATAAACTTGGTAAGAAAACTTGTATTAGGACTCATTAATTCTCTACTTATTTCAAGAAAACTTTACTATTGCCTGTTTACTAACTGTTAAAAGCAGAAATGAAACTAGAAATTTCCTGGCTTAACTGTAACTAATTAATTTATTAATTAACTGATTAATATTAGACTCGATGAAGGATTACACCGGATGAGTCAATCCAACAAACTTTCATGATGTCATTAAATCGTTGAAAAAATTTAGCGATTGCTAGAATCCGGCCGAAGAAAGTAGACCTTAAGTAGTTAACGAAGTTTGTTAAGCCACTCTGTTGAAGAAAGTGTTACTAAAAGTGTTGCCCAAAAGTGACCTAAACTTTTATGAAGACCGGATACAAAACCGTTGTCTGCACCGATGGTAAGTTACTATAAAATGTTTGTGCAGAAAATAAAGTACTCAAAGAGAGGCCTTATAGCGAGATAGTTTGGTGGACTAGAACCTTTAGCATTGTAAAGGTAAGGGTCCATTGACCCTTACTCGAGCGTTGAATGAACTATTTGCCAACTGAATAAGTCTTTATAAAAAATTATTTAACCTATAGCATTCCCACAGAAATAAATGTTCATAAAAACTTTAAGATGATTTTTGATGGTTTACAAAAATAGTATTTTCTCTCATGGTGTCCTTAAGAATTGGTATCATGGTATAGCAAGCAGAAATGACCGAACCTTACCAGTGGCATTATTATTAATTCCATTAAACTGTATAAGAGATTCACCAATTTGACATTTAACATTAAGCAGGATAATGACAAGCTCTGAACTAGTACAAAATTGCAGTATAGCACTGAAAGAGGTCTGCAAACACAATAGTAGTCCAACGACTTATGGCGCATTCTAGTTGTTAGCAATCTCATTGACAGGCTGGCTAAATATCCTTCTGCGATAACAGTTCAGAAGTTTGTAGGACCTGGGAAAAGTTAAAAATCCCAACAACACCAAAGAGTCACATTTATTATTGACATCGTTGTCATAAGAAGATGGACAGATGACCACACTAAATTAAACCCAATGTAACTCTGTAAAAACTGATAATCACTCAACTTAAGATTGTCAAATATCACTCCACAGTTTAAAAAAAAAAAATTATCAACACTATAGTATATAATAACCTGTAAGATATAACGTTATATTTTTCGGATTAAACACCGTAAAATAATGTTTATTCTTACAGTAAAGTAAGAGAGGGTCAATGTCTCGCAACCTTGGGCAGTCGCCAGGTGAGAAAAGTAGTGCAAACAAATTTAAATCATCTGTATATAGCAATTGAAGTGCAAGAGGTTTATTAATAATTTTATGACCAAAGCTATGAATATATAGAACTTTACCGGCTATGCTTAGAAGACGAGAAAACTTTAGTAGAAGTGGTTTGAGATCTTAATCTTAGCTAGGGTTAATTCTGATATTGTAACCTATTTATAGTATAGGATTCATAGAGTTGTAATAGTACATTTTTACGATTAATGCGAGTTCAAAAAGTTGTTGTGAAATAATTATAAAATAAGAAACCATCAGAGCAAATGTCATCATCATGAAACTGAATGGATTAGTGATCACTACGATGATATTATCGTTTCGTCGCATGAAGTGACAAAGATTTTTGACATATCCTTTTTTCTGGCGTATTTCTTCTTTCTGGATATTTCGTCTTAACTCGAGCGCTATAAATTTTTAATTTTTTGTCAGGTCCGAACTACTAACAGGTCATACTAATTAAATGCAGAAAAGTAATATCTCTTCTTCTCTTTAACGTGGGTTCTTTTGTCTTGCTTCCAGTTTATTTCGTTGTTCTTCCTTTCTCTTTATCTAGTATCTTTCTAGTTTACAGTTTGATTTTGCATTTGTTGCTTGTTTCTCTTTATTTGATATTTTTTTAGTTCCTATTTTGTATCTCCATTTACATCTTATTTCCAACTTCTTTCATTCTGGATTTTTTTAGGTTGTTTCTTTATGGCGTCTTTTTTATTTCTGGATATTTCGTCTTAACCCGCGTTATAAATTTTGTCTTTTTTCATATCCGACGAATTCCAACATACTAAATAAATCCAGAAGAAACTATTCATAAAGGCAATATCTCATCTTCTTCTGCCTTACTTCTAGTTTGTTTCGTTGATCTCCCTTTCTCCTTATCTGGTATCTTTCTAGTTTACAGTTTGATTTTGCATTTGTTGCTTGTTTATTTGATATTTTTTCTGGATTTTTCAGGTTGTTTCTTTATGGCTAACTAACTTTTGTAATGTTATGGTTTTGAGACTTTTATATTGGTACTTGTCAGTTTAATAAAAAGTTTTAATGACTATTTAGTCCATGATTAACCTAAGTTTTAATTATTTATGATTTAATCTCTAATTTTTAATTTACTAATTTACTTTAATAGCTAATTTAACAGCTACTTTAAGAAAGAAAGCAATATTAAAATTGATTTTGAACATACATTTCCTAAGAAAGCAGAAATGAAACTAAATTAATAAGTACAGTTATATTACCAACATAAAAGTCACATTTATGATTTTAATTGATGAATCATTTTCATGAATCATGGATTATTTCTTCAAATAACTTTCTTTTAGTACATCACAAATTCAAAAATTTTAATGTTTTATTTAAGAATTTGTTGGAATAAACTTGGAATTCAAAAAATATATCTAGGTCAAATAAATATTCTGTAACTTCAAAAAACCGTTTAATAAGAAGATTCAAAAACGTATGAAGTACTTAACCTTGCTTCTATAACAACTTTATTATTCCCAGTTTAGATAGTATTTAAATAAGAGATGGGATTCTCGCTACTTTCATCGCGATGGCCGCATAACTACGTTTATAACAAGAAATCGACGTCGAGGACGTCTCTTCAATGTCTTCAATACGCACAAATGTCACAATGGCAACAATAAAACGTCTGAAAGACGGCGTTTCAACGTTGCGACGAACGTTAATTAACCTGGTCACAATCGAGGAAAGTGAAAACTGTTGCAAATCGAGACGATTTGAAATTGTTAAATCGTAAAAATCAACCATCCTCCTTCGTTGTAATCATTGGACAACGACGGCAAAGCTCGTCCAACCCGAGCCACACTTGATCATTGACCTCTGGTTGATAACTGTACAATTTCAGTGTTGCTCGAAGGACGTATATGGGTTGGGCACAAATTAAATTAAAATTTCTATTTTTTACAAAATCCAACAATTTAAAAGACTTTTATAAAACTTACCGTAATTAAGTATTTGGTGGTCATTTTTTAATTACAAAGTTTAAGTTAAGGTCCTTTTTTAACAATTTCGAACAAATCACTCAAAATTATTCAAAATAAATCACTTTATTTTAAGTTTTCTTCAAATTTTTATAACATTTTAATACAACTTTTTAAATTTTTCTCGCTCAAAATGTATTGAACGAGTTTCTGTAGTCGTTTTTTTGTGTTTCGGCTCGTCTCGTGCGGTAGAAGTTGGATGTCGACGCGAACGTCGTCGAACAGCAAATAAAGTGTGCCACAGGTTTGTGCTGGTCGACACCGTTCTTGAACTTGTAAACGGATATGATATAACGCTTACCTGGAAGGAGTATTTAGTACATCAGGTGGTAACCACAGTTGCGCTCACAAGACATCTTCAAAGATCAACCATCTCATCAGATCAAACACCTTTCTTTTCTTATTACACTCATTAATTCTTATAATGTATAAAGTTTAATTTATATGAGATAGCAAATTACATTTATAATTAAAACTAATATATCTTGTTATGCTTCTTAAACCTGTCTTAATCTTTAATATCTGAAATGTACTTTCTTTTTAAAACAAGTTAGTTAATTGTAAGAGAAAAAGGTAGCTTTTCAAGAAACCAGTTCAAAACAAGCTTAGATGATTATTTTATTCATTAATATCCTGTTGAATAACAAAATGATCTAAAAACATATTTGTTAAGTTTCTTAGGCTCTTTGTATCCATGATGGATAAAATTAGTAAGAAATCTTTAAAAATGGAACTTGCCAAAAAAGTTGCAATTTCTATAGTCTTAACACCAACATGCACAAAATGTTTTGGAGCAAAAATTCAAATGTCAAAACATTATAGATTGGCTTTATAACTCAAGAACTGTATCTTTTAACAGCTTTTCATGATGAAAAGCATTAAGAGTAATCGAATGTGAAACTTCTGCTAATTATTTAATAAGCAGAAAGGAAAAATTTTATTTTTTAAACCTGGTACCTCCTTAATGGATAAGATGATATTAAATCCTTTTAAAAGTAGATTATTGCTTATATGATAAATTAGTCTTTACTATAAAGCTCATTAAGTTATCTCAAACATAAAAAAAATATTTTGTTGTGATATTTCCCACATACACCTTCAGTCAAGTTCAGAATGGATACAGGTAGTAATAAAATGAATAATTATTACTTGTTTAACCTAAACTACTTATACAGAAAGATACATTTGTTGTTATTTAAGTAATATATTGACTACATTATAATTTATATTTGATATCATAATTGAAGAAAATGAAGAGATGAGATATATGCAACCCAAATATCATACATATCTTGAAAAATAATTCAAAATGTTTCTAAATAAAAGAATTAAATAGTTATTTCACTCAATTAATCTTAGTTAGTTAATTTAAAATAGTTTTTATAATTAATTAAGTTTAACGTATAAAATAATAAACACGTGGTTAAAATGAAAATTTTAAATTTTGTAATGTTGGTATCAATCGTTTTGTCGTCAAGTTTGAAATGTGACGCATGCGCGGTCGCCTCGATCTCGCGACTAAACTCACGCCGCTCGGTCCTTTACACCGCAAAAATGGCTGACAACGCAAACGTTTTTGCCTCCGCTCTCGTTTTCGACTTTTTAAAAAAGAAGGACCAAGTTCTGGCGAATTCCTACCAGAAGAAAACAAAGTCCGTAAGTTAACTCATTATTTATTACAATCCATTATGTTCGTTACGTCCGCGTTTTCGATAAATACAATCACAACGCGCCCGGAATTAACCACCACGTGCTCGTGTTCGCTTCAAAAACATCGATATATAACTTTGACAAATTTGTTGAACACGTTCTGATTGTTATTTTATGTTTTTCAGCCGAATTTATTGAAAGGTTCCCCGTTATTAAACGACATAGTATCTTATTATATTTCAAATAATCCAAATGCTAAAAAGTTAAGATTAGAAGAGAGTAGCGAGGAAAGTAGTAGTAGCGATGAAGCCCCAGCTAAGAAACAACAGAAACCTATAGTAAATGGAAAAGCAAAAGCACCAGCAACAACTAAAAAAGCGAAAAGCAGTACGGAAGATTCAAGTTCTGTGGATGAAAAGCCCAAAAATCAAAAAATTGCTGCAATTGCTGCGTCTTTAGGTGCAAAACCAGCCCAAAATAAAGCGGTTAAAAAACAAGAAAGCTCAGATGACTCGTCAAGCGAAGAAGAACCTCCTAAAAAGAAACCTGTAGAGCAACCTAAAAAGAAAAAGGAATCTTCAAGTTCTGAAGAGGATTCTTCAGATGATAAAAGTAAAAAAGTTGTTGCACCTCCAAAGAAAGCTCCGATTAAGAAAAAAGAATCATCATCGGATGATTCCGACAGTGAAGAAGAAACTGTTAAGGTTCCTCCTAAAATAACAGCTAAAACGCCTCCTAGTAAAACAGTAACAAAGAAAAAAGAAAGTTCTTCTGATGACTCATCAGAAGAAGAAGAAACTAAGCCTCCAGCTAAAACAATTACTACAGTTAAAGCACCCGTGCAAAAGAAGCCTGACTCTTCATCAGAAGATTCATCTTCAGAAGAAGACAGTAAAACAACCGCCGTAAAAAAACCTGTAGTACAACAAAAACAACCAGCAAAAAAAGATGACTCCGAAGATTCAAGCTCTGAAGAAGAAGAACCAGTCAAAAAACCAATTAAACAAGCACCTAAACCCACACCACAAAAGAAACAAGAATCATCAGACTCTGAATCTGATAGTGATGAAGATGAACCGGCTAAGAAAAAACCTGCCTTAGTCAAACCAGCTGCTAAAGCTACACCCATAGCTAAAGCTAAAAAAGAAAGCAGTAGCGATGACAGTTCATCTGAAGAAGAAGTTACTAAAAAAACTCCTGCAAAACCTGTTGTAGCACAAAAAAAGAAAGAAAAAGAAGACAGCTCTGATGATAGCAGTGAGGAAGATGAAAAACCTAAAGCACCATCGAAACCTGTACCTACAATAAAAGCAAACGCTAAAATTACTAAAAAAGAAGAATCTTCATCGTCTGAGGAAGATGATAGCGATGAAGAAGAAACTAAAGTAGTTAAAAAATCTGCTCCATCCACACCAGCACCTAAAAAGGTAAAAAATAAAATAAAGGTAAAACATTTTGAAATATTTATTTTTTTTAAATTTTATTAAGGTTGCTGCTAATAAAGAATCATCTTCTGAAGAATCAGATGATGATGAAGATGAGAAACCGAAGGAAGTGAAGAAACGTAAAGCTGATGATGAGCAAGATACGACAGAATCGATACCTTTGGTGAAAAAACAGAAAAATATGAGTTTTACAAATGGAAATCAGGTAAAGTATTTCATAAAATAAAATGAGTCCTAACTAATCTAAGACGTAATTTAGTTTTTTTTTTTATAGATTATACATTTTTATACATGTGTATTTGAATTGTTTGGCCAAACTTCATCAATGTGATGTATTGAACAAAATTGTAAAAAAGGTTTTATAAACATGTGTCTAAAAATGCTTTTTTAACAAGTTATGCTTTAATTAGGTATAAACTTTTTGTTTCTTAACAATTAATTGTCTGACAAAAACAGTGTTACATTTTGAAAGCTAGGTTAATTGAAAAACTACAGCAGTAAGACTTTTTTTGTCCTTTTTTATAAGATTTTTTTTATTGTTTTACACTGTTGTGAATAACTCTTTGAGCTGTTAATATCTCATCTTTTCTTTAACATGGGTTCTTCTGCCTTGCTTCCAGTTTGCTTTATTGATCTCCTTGTCTCTATATCTGGTATCTTTCTAGTTTATGGTTTGATTCTGCGTTTGTTTCTGGCTTCTTTGTTTCCCTTTATTTGATATTTTTTTAGTTCCTATTTTGTATCTCCATTTACATCTTATTTCCAGATCTTTCATTCTGGATTTTTTCAGGTTGTTTCTTTATGGCGTCTTTCTTCTTTCTGGATATTTCGTCTTAACTCCTGCGCTATAAATTTTACATTTCTTCAGATCCAACTAAATCCAACATACTCAAACCCAGAAGAAAATGTTCAAAATGGCAATATCTCATTTTCTCTTTAACATGGTTTTTTCTGTCTTGCTTCCAGTTTCTTTTGTTGATCTCCCTGTCTCTTTATCTGGTATCTTTCTAGTTTATGGTTTGATTCTGCGTTTGTTTCTGACTTCTTTGTTTCCTTTTATGTGATATTTTTTAGTTCCTATTTTGTATCTCCATTTACATCTTATTTCCAGCTTCTTTCATTCTGGATTTTTCAGCTTGTTTCTTTATGGCATTTTTTTGTTTCTGGATATTTCGTCTTAACTCCTGCGCTATAACTTTTACATTTCTTCAGATCCAAATAAATCTAACATACTAACATTGTTACATTTTGAAAACTACATTAATCAATATAAGAGCGACATTATAATCTGTAAAAGAGTGCTCTTGCCCAACACAGCTTAGATTTGAGCTACATTTTTTATTTTGACTTGTTTCACTCTGTCTTGAATAACTCTTTGAGTTGTTAACGGGATCAAACAAGTTTCTCCTTTTTGAATTTTAATAAAAATTATTATTGATTAATCACAATTTTAGAATTCGTGCGAAATTTTTTAAAGAACCAATTTAGACACATGTTCATGAGAACTTTTTTTACAGCTTTAACCATACTTCAGGTTGGTGAGGTTTGTTATATATTTTAATAACAAAGTTCAATTCAATACAATCGAAAAATGAATGATACAAAAGAAGCATTGCATTTTTTTAAAATTTTTAAAGAGAAAAAATACTTTAACCTCATTTTTTATCTTTTTATGTTTCAAATATACAGAGAGTAAACACTCCATTCCGACGCGTACAAGAAGAAAAGGTTTTCGTCGACCCAAGGCTCCACGACAATTCATTTGATGCAAAGGTAACGTGCAGGCTTAGAATCCTTCCCCAAAGGATGGCGTATAACGGACAACAAAAAGCTTCCACGTTACACTTTTTAAACAAAAAAAAATTCAATGCTTCTTCGTTCTGTTAATTTTTCTAAATTACTTCTTAAAATAAGTTCTTTTTTGATTGTCTGTTGTATGCTAATCCTCTATTCTTTTTTTACCCCGCGTAGATGGATGAAAGCGAAACCACCGAAGGCGAGTTTAGTTCGAATAGCCGCTACAGTCGAGGAGGTTTTAATAGATCTTTCGATGGCGAAAGAGGCGGCGGTCGCGGAAGAGGTGGTTTTAGAGGAAGGGGTGGACGCGGTGGTGGCGATTTTAGGGGTGGTCGTGGAGGTGGCGATTTCAGAGGAGGTCGTGGAGGGCGCGGTGGGGGAGGGTTCAGGAACTCATTTGATGGTGAAGGTGGCGGCCGGGGAGGGTTTAGGAAATCTTTCGATGGCGACAGAGGAGGTGGAAGGGGTGGATTTAGAAAATCTTTCGATGGGGAAGGTCGCGGAGGGTTTAGAAAATCGTTTGACGGTGGCGATAGAGGCGGAAGGGGTGGGTTCAGAAAGTCATTCGATGGGGGCCGAGGGGGCGGCGGACGGGGGGGAGGTCGTGGCGGTTTCGGTTCAAATTCACAAAGCACAGGGGCACCACAAAATAAGAAGATCACCTTCGACGATTAGAATCGGTTTTCTTTGTGAAATTTTTTACTTTATATAATTTTGTTTTAATTTAGGTAAGTGTTCGTTTTGCTGTCGGGGTTTATAAAACTGTGCTTAATAAATTTGTTTGAACGTCAAAATTCAAATTATTTGAAATTTTATGATGTGAGAAAACATTTTAATTATTATAGAGAAATTCACGAGGATCTTGGGGTGAACAAGCCAACTACGATCTCAAACAAACAAGGGGGAAATCTTTTAGGCACGAGAAGACGAAAAAGAAGCGCGGCTCTTACAGAGGGGGTACAATTGATGTTTCCGTTAATTCAATTAAATTTGAAGATTAATAATACTTCATCATCGACCATACTTCATATATTATAGATTTCCGACTCATCATCCTTTTTACGTTTAAGTATTCGTACGCGGTGCCCCAATTTATATTTTTGTTTTTCGTTAAATAATCGTTTGCGTTCCAATTGTATATTGTAAGTCAGTTTACATGCCCTAGATGCACGTTTTGTGACATTTTTTCAATTTTTTGACATCGACAGTTATTTCGCTTTGTGGTTTCTTTTAATTATTTTGTTAAAAATGATTTATAAACGTAGAGAAAGAAATCTAAGAGTGATTGCGGACTGTATATTTTTATTGTTTAAGAAATAAATGTGGTGTTCTACAATAACAATTAAGAGTATAGTTTAAAATTTACCACGTTACTTGTATATAACTTAGTTTTTAAATATTGATTGAAATGAATAAACTAAGTGGATACATGAAATATGTTTCATCATTTATTTCCAATTTAACTTTAAAAATAAAGTCTAATTTAAAGTTGTTAAAATGACAGCGATAAGCGCCATCTATTTGTGAAGTATCAAAACTTATTATTTGAAAAGAAAGATAACCTCAAAACGTCAATCTGTCAAAGTGAGATGGTGCGAAATTCGATAAATATAGAATTCGGCGTACGTTTGGTGGCTTATTCAATTTCCAGCTAGTGTTCTGCGTTGCAGGAGGTGCTGTTTACGAAAAAGTGCATTCGATTCGATTCTGAATTGAATATCGTCGAGAAACCTGCACTAGGACTATTATTAGATCTACCTTGGGGCTTCTACCGGAGAATTTCATTCAAAAAATACCCTTTCCTCATTCCACTAAGAACCGTTTGTATACAATTTAGGTAAGAAAATTCTTTTAATTAAAAATAATTTAATGCAAAAAATAATGAGAAATGAAATGTTGTTAATGTTTTCTTTTAGTTGTTAATTAATTAGTGGGGTAGAATGTCACGCCCAAAGTGGTACCGGGCTCTCTCAAATGCACATGTTGCATTTTGCTGATCGCGCAGGGTCTAAGTTTTGCCAGCTAGTAAAAAAAATCGATAAAATAGGTTAATAGTTTTAGACACGTTTCAGAACTTATTGTTAGCTTTAAATCTTTTTTGGTGTTTCTACGTCGGATTTTTTGAGGCATTTTCACGGAAATTGCAATTGTGACGTTATCGGCGTCTTATCAAGTATTAAAACTTTGCGTCGGTGTCAGTTTTATATTTACATACGATTCAATTGGGCTTTAACTTAAATCCCAGCTAGATTTAACTTTATCTTTAAGGTATTTATTTAATCTCTTTGGAATTCTAGTTTTTTTTTGCTTAACGCTTTAAGCTTTCTTGTTACTTAAACTTTAGATTTATAAGTTAACATTAATTAATAATGGTAACTTAATTTACATAGTTAATATCTTTCATGTAACATTTTTTGTGTACGTGCTATCTAGAACGAGGTAATTGCGTGACGTGAGTTTATAATTTTTTATTTTTGGTTAAGTAAACTGATGTTTAAAGTATATAATTTTTGATAAAAACAACGTAAGGTTTGTGTACAATTTTATATTTGGATTACAGCATCTTTTGATTGAAGATGTTTTTAAAGTTTCCTAATAGTTTATGATTTTTTCTTGGAACCTTTAATTTGCCATGCGTGCTTTTGATTATGTAAAGATTTAAAATAAACAACATTTATGAGTGATAAAAAAATATCCTTTTATTTTTTGCATGTATAATTATTGCAAAAATTTATGCAAGTCTTGCTCAACTTTAAAATAATAATAAATAATTTTCGAAGTAAATAGTTGAACAAAATTACATCATTGTAATAATACTAATTAATAAATACCAAGTTACACAAATGCTGCAATATAGTTTGGCAAATAAAGTATACCATCTTTCGCGACAGGGAGATGATCTTCTCTTGAAAGTAAAATAAAGGTTACCTTCGATAATTATACGTCGATAAATAACTTTGTGGAAAGTTGTCAGAAATAAGAAAAATCCAAGTGAACCTCTTTTACTTTATCTAATGCTGTTAGGATTTAGATTTAAAATAATGTGACCTTGAAGAAAGCTCCTTCTTCTTTCTCCACTTTATTCTGTGCGCAAATTCTCGCTTCATCTTTTCCTTGGTCGTTCTAGACTTTGTTTACCTAGCGGCGATTTATCCTTGACCCTTTTTACTAGTCTATTTTGTCCCATATTCTTACGTTTATGTCCAATTAATGATATTTTTCATTCTACATAAGAAGTGTTGCCATACTATGATGGAAAAATGTACTATAGATGCTGCGTTTTTAGAAAAAAGTCCTTTTTGCAGAAAACCATTTATTTCAAAAATTTTGAAAAATATTTGAACTGAAGAAAATCCAGATTTTTCAGTTTATTTTTTCTCTGAAGTGTTTTTGATAGTCTTAACATTTAGTGCAGCACCACCATGGGATGAAACAAAACTTCAAAGAGAAATTCAAGTTTGAATTAAGAATTTATACAATTAATTTATCATATCATATTATCTTTAAGATATAGAAAACATACAATAAAATCCGACCTACGACAACTACGCAGGTGTATCACTGTCAAGGTGAAGTATTACAAACAATCAAGGTGAACCAACTTATTGATTTTTTTCTCAAATAAGTACATAAATTTTTAATGTTTACAGTTTAATTTATTTCCTTAATTCGCGAACACGAGTTAGATTAAAAACGTTTAACTTTATGGAATTAGAAAAGCGATTTCAATTTATTGCTTAATTGGAAAAAGATGTGGAAGCGCGTCGTAAAGAATAACTTATCGCCTTTTGCTGAGGCGGCGAATTCCAAGTTAATAAATTAAAGAGAGATAAAAAAAAGTTACAACGAGCGCTCCGAAATAGCAACACCAACGAGAATCACGCGTTTGCTTCGTGCAATAGAAACGAAAACATGGAGATAACGTTTATTATTTTCTCATGCCCTAGACGTTTTGTTATAAAAATAATAAAACCACAGAGAATTGTGGTCCAAAATCCTTTTATAAGATGATCCGTACTAATTAATAATCTGGGTAATTCTGTTTTGAATGTTTGTTATGATTATTATTATTATTATAAACATTAATACGTCAATCGATTTTATATTCAAATTGAGACTCACACATTCTTAGATTACACGAGAATTATTATTACCCCATTGTTGTTATTGACCTAATTAACTTAATTATTTTAAATCTGTTATTGTCTAATAATCTTACAAGGTTATTAATATTTTGTTTGAGTTCTCCAAAAAATTCCGTTCAATCTTAATCCTAAAATATGATCCCACGTGCACAATAGATGTTAAAATTATCAACATCCGTTTGAACTTCTCTAACAAATTGGTTCTAATCTTAATCGAAAAATTAAAAGAGATTTATCATGTTTAAGCGGAACTAAACAAATTGATTGAAGTAGATTGAAATTGTGCAAAGTTTGAAAATTGTACTGATTAAGATAAGAATCCTATAATTTTAACTTAATGGCGTCGCAAATAAATTGGGGTATGACCTGGTTGAACTAAGATCCTTACTCTGAAAACGCCGTGTTTGACGTCAGAAGCATAGTACAGAAATAGTAATTGTTATAAATCTAATAATGGGTCGACTTTGGTCAATTGTTACGTTTACTAGCCCGTTTACGATTAGTAATAAAACAATTTTATGCGTGTTGTTATAACCTTCAAGACAATTGTTTCAATTTTTTTATAAAATTAAAGATTCGGATTATATAAACAATTTATTTATCAATGTCTAAAAGCAAAAAAAATCGCAATAACCCCATTTATTAATCAATCAATCACTTCTTGTAATATTACCATGTTTTTCTTTTCTTATCCTTACTTATTTGTTTTGCATACAGTTCTTTTATCAATACTAACAGTATGTACTCGATTATTCATGGAATTATTGAATGAATTTTAAATTGAGATCATAAAAATAGCGCGATATCTAAAAAATATATAAATATCTTTAGGACACGTGTTTACTAAAATAAAAGCACGCCTTCCGAAACACAATATTGCGTGATCAATCGATTTCATCTCTGCCCTCCTCACATATTTCTCTCTCAATGTTGCGATTTGGGATCAAAGATCGTCGACTTCTTACGTCAAACGCAACCGATGACTTTATATTGTCGAATAAAATTATTCTCAGCAAAAACACTCACAATTTTACCGTCAACTCAAACAGAAGTGTCTTTGCAATCAATTGAAGATATTTGTTAAAGAAAAACGTTTTTTTAAGTAGTTTTTGTTTAATTTCAGTTCGGCTCTATGGCTTCCGAGCCGTGGCTGCCGCCACCTAAACAAGGTCTTTACGACCCTCAACTTGAAAAAGAAGCTTGCGGCGTTGGATTTATTGCCGCTATCGATGGAAAACGTACCAATAAGATTATTGTGGACGCTCAGCGTCTTTCCACTGCTATGAACCATCGTGGAGCTTGCGCTTGCGATAATGATACAGGAGATGGTGCTGGAATTCTTTCGGCAATTCCACATGAATTATATTCAGCTAATTTAAAGTAAGTTAAAAAATATCAATATTAGTTTAAAAAAATTTGTGTGAATGGATAAAATATGGAGGCTGAATGGCGAATATCGTAAATACTCACCGTGACAGTGGAATTACGAGATTACACAGTTGGTTGAAAAACTTGGACTTTGCTCGAATGTGATTCAATACTGATTCTCTAGACGTTTAAAAACACTTTTAGATAAACGTTGCCGACTTTAATGTTGTATATTATGATTTTATTTTTAATTTTATTACCAAACTCGACACGATCGCGTTATAATTGTTTGTACCAATTTGTGACTATTGATTTCTTTATCAAAATCTCCCGGATTTTATTATTTGTTGTTTGATATTTTAGTTTTTATCATGGTATGTTTTTAAATAGTCGAGTGGAAGGAAAAATACCACTTTTGTAACAATAACACGTTTGGCGTTTTTATCTCTATAAACTTTACATAAAATGTTTTGACTCTCAAATTTTAATCTTATATTTTGAAAAGTTATTCAATAACAAATTGACATAAATTGATTTATCTTAACATCATTAAGAAGATAAACATAGAGGAAAAAATTGATTTGAGAGATTTATCTAGATTCTTAAAAATTGTTATTTCAACATTTCTAGAGTTCTAAAAATAACAAGTTTTAAAAGTTTCCGTTAACATTTATTAAATTACGACTTTTTAAGTACATCTTTACATAATACTGTAATTAATATTTTAATTCTAATTCTTTTTTATGTCGCAAATGAGCAAAAAACAACAAAATAAGTACAACATTAGTTTTTTATCGTAAGTGGTTAAAAAACGATTTTGGTTAAGTGTTGGAAAAATACGTTGATCGCGGTAAAGATAAATTTATTTAAACAATACAGAGTGTTTGAAAGTGTTCCTATTGATGAAGATGATTTATTTTTGTTATAAATAGAATATTGAAGAATATTACAAATTAATGTTTTGTATAGTTTATTTATTTTGTGTATCAACGAACATCTTAGCGATGTAATGAACAATATACGGATTAATTTCAATACTTAGCGATTACGCCAAGTTGGCTCAATGGTCTTAACAGGTCTATGTTCTCTATCTATGCTCTAACTCTAAACAGATCTTATGAATGGATCTTATGGAAACTTTGGGCAACTTATTTACCTTTACCATATGCAACATGTGCAAACCCTCACTTCTTCAGATTACCACGCAAAATTGATATTCTATCAATGGTTTTTGGTTAAGCTGCTGAACGTCCAAATTGCTTAACTAATATTTTGTTTACTGATAAACCAATAAAACTCGGTTATAAGATGATTCTGTGTTGACGTTGCAGGGCGACATTTTCAACATCTTCAATAATAACTAAAGTACGATCACAATATTACAATGTTCATTAGGACTTTTCAACTTGTTTTTGACCTATTAATGTTTAATTATCGTCTTGAATCACTCTGTATATGGTATAATAGATTTGGACCTATATTTGGAATCACAATAATAAATAATCGTTACATGTTCCTAAACATATCCTATCTGGGATTGGTCTGAATAAGTAAACATGTCTGAATGAGTGGCACCTTCCTACCAGTTAAAAATGTAAATAACAGGCGCAAGTATCCGAATCTCTTTGAGATCATTATTTGTGCTTATTAAGATAGTTGGAATCTATTTATTATTGCTAGTTAATTAATAGTTTAAGCAGATCCAAATATAATGTATAAACTTGATAGAAGACTAAAATAGCTGATATTTTAGTTGAATAATTTATTTTCATACAGTTAGTTTGTAATGCTGCCAAAGATCTAAAACAGAAGTCTGTTTTAAAATAAATATTTACATAGATATTAAAAAGTCTTGATCTTTTAGAAATAAATCTAAAATTTTTCAGAAAAAAACAATATTTGATTAGATTCCAGATTTTGCTGTGATACATATCATTCACCTTGTTGACGTTGTTCTTATCACGATAAATATATATAACTTGAGGCTACTCCCAGTAAATATTTACCACTATAACTAGAAGTTGACCCAAGAAAAAAGATAAGTTCGTAGGCCGTACTTATCTTGATTTTTATTGTATGTATTATTGTAAGTCCCAATTGAAGATGTCAGGTATCATTCCTGTAGGGAGAATAAGATGTTAAAATTTATGTAACAAGGGTAATTAAGATAGATTTCCAATCAGCAATATGTATCATGCCCAATTTTTACTTGTGTTGTTTAGTAACACTAAATTTTTTCTTGATGTTCAAGACACCACCAATATAGGATTTATTTGTACTTGATCACGCAACAGACTTTATTTATGTTATGAAAATCCATTAAGATGAGAGAATGAGATGTATTGTGCCAATTAAACATAAATTTAAGAGTCTAATAAAAGATAATTTTATATCATCTTTGAAGTGGTATAATTTGCGAAACTTCCTCAATGATTTACAACCTCATTACTTTAGAATTGACGATGTTACATACATAAATTTTGATTTTCAGTTTTATAGGCGACGAAAACTATATCTGACTATATAAATTTTGATTTTCAGTTTTATAGGCGACGAAAACTATCTGACTATAATTCACCATTAAAGACGTGGTAACAACGTAATTCAGGAAGATTTTAGAAAAAAGAATGAGTATTATGGTTGATTTGAAAGAATTAATATAATGTTTTCTAGTAATCCTACATTATCTGCTATAACTATGGATCTGGATTGTGACGTACTTTATCGATTAAATATTGTTTTCGAAATTATTTATATATTTATTATTCGCAAAACTTGCTCAACTTGTACTTATAACATCTCAGCCCAATAATTACATATAATTACATATGTTATCTATATACATAGATAACTTATATTACGTGAGGAAATTCTCGAGGGTAATATGTAACAATGATATAATCAAGAGATTAGTACTCATTTGAATTTTAAATTAAATGATTAAAAAGAGATACCCATCACAAGAAATGTAAATTCTTTTGGACTTCTTTCATAAATAGGTACTTCTATAGGTGGCGGGGAAGTCTAAATCCTTTTGGTTCTTGGTTGGGGAGGATCTGTTGATTTATTAGTCGTGTATTAGTCGTCTATTTTTACACGTTTTCAAAACACAACCTATATCGAAACCTAAATTCGTTATTAATATTTTGAAAACCAAAATTTGAAAGTATTAGTATCAAATAAAAGAAAAAGAATCGAATTTTATTTACTTAATGATTACAGACCTTTCTATTTTTTAAAATAGAAAAATTTTAAACACGTATTTTAACTTATTTTTCTTTATAGCTTAATAATTCAATATAAACAACGCAATTAATAATTCGCGATAACATTTTTTAAGTAATCCATATTTATAAATAAAGTTGCGCAATAACCAACTAAGACGTAAATATGAACATTTTTATGTGGATTTAAACGGAATCCGTTTTTCATTGTATTTGATTATCTAATCTGATTTAAAAGAACGTACACAGAAAAATGTTTATAAATAATTCAAAGAATATCATAAACGTTTTAAATGATGTAAATTCTTTTAATTATTTTTAGAGATTCCTATGGTGTTCAATTACCACCTTTGGGTCACTATGCAACGGGAATTTTCTATTTGGATAAACTTCATCATCAAGAATCGGAAGAAAAATTTGCTGCTCTTGCTAAAGATCTTGGAATGTCGGTTCTCGCTTGGAGAACTGTTCCAACAGATAGTTCATCGATTGGAACTGTTGCGAGAAATTCCGAGCCGTTCATGAGACAAGTAAATTAATTAATCATAATCGAAGTAATTTATTAAATTCTTTGTTGCGTTTAGGTTTTTGTTGTTCCTGCTAACACGGAAGTTCCAGAGGATGTATTAGATACTCAATTCTTCGTATTACGAAAACGAGCTACTCATTTGATTCCATCACCTGGAAAACGTTTCTACATTTGTTCGCTAAGCAGAAGGATAATTGTTTACAAAGGACAATTAACGTCGGATCAATTATGGTTGTACTTTCCTGATCTGTTGGATCCGCTCTTTGTGACATATTTGGCTTTGGTGCATACCAGGTTTTCAACGAATACGTTTCCGAGCTGGGAAAGAGCTCATCCTTTAAGGTAAAACTTCTTTTATTCCTCGATCCTTTAATTTTCGGTCCATAATGTGTAAGTGGTAGATTTTAAAGAATAAAAAAATGGCTTAGCACACGCGGCGGTTACAATTAGGAAATTTTTCTTCTATTGTACAAATTGTGCACAACTTTTTCAAAGCTAAAATATCTATTTTCTTCTACTTCTATTTAACGCTATTTTCATTCTAACATTTTAAGTTTAGATTTATTCGAAAACTCAAAAGATTTTTTATTTTTACTATAACTTTTTTGTTTTTTATTAGGTAATTAAAAAATCTTTTAAGTTTATTTCCGCAGTTAATAACAAAACATTCATTTTTTACTCACAAAAAAATATTCATAGTAATCAATTGATGTATCGTACAATTTTAGTTTAAAATCCATCGTTTTGTTTAGTTTAATCTTTGTATTTTCTTTCGATTATAATCTAAAACCAAAGATGTACCAAAACGCTTTTCTTATTTTTAAATTAAAAAAATTAATCTTTTAGATTAATTAAAAGATTAATTTTTTTTCAAAGTAAATAAATTTTTTTGAATAGAAATGAAATAGTACATCTTTGGTAGTCCTTTTTAAACGTCTAATGGAGTAGTTAAAGGTGTCAAAAGTTGCCAACACCGTTGGTAGCGGGGACACGGAATTCGCTGGGGCAGAAGAGAAGCCGGGAAGCTTCTGTGGACGGTCGACGGTGGCCGGAACCCTGACACATGGAGGACTTGAACCCTTAAGTCGCAAGATAAGGTTAACACAATAAAATAATCCCTCAAAAAAAAAATTACAAAAAATACAAAAGAATTAAAAAAAAAAAATTAAAAAAAAGTGGTGTTAAATTATAATTTAAAACAATTTGTCTCTTCTTTGTTCGTCTTCATATCATAATATTATGTTCTTCAAGAAAACGTAGCACCCATGGATAAAAATATTAATTGTAAAAAAAAAAATTAGATTATAATGCATGGTTCATGTCGTCATTTATTTCAAATCATTTAAAAATTATCAAAAAAAAATGAGATAAATTATTGTTAATTTGTAAGAAGTAAAGAAAATGAGAAAAAAAAAAGATTTATTTTGATGACATAAAAAGTTCAAATTTCAATTTTTGTCTTATTTGTAATTGTTTGGTTTCTTTTAGAATGTTGGCTCATAATGGAGAGATTAACACTTTACGTGGTAATGTTAATTTTATGAAAGCCAGGGAAGGTGTTATGAAGAGTGATATTTTCAAAGAAAACTTACAAAATTTATATCCAGTTGTTGAACCTAACTTATCAGATAGTGGTTCAGCTGATTGTGTGTTAGAATTTTTGGTACATGCGGGAAAAAGATCTTTACCAGAAGTAAATAAAAACATAACTAAATTACACTAAACTAACTAACTATCTTTATTAGGCTGTTATGACGATGGTACCAGAAGCTTGGCAAAATGATCCAACAATGTCCAGTGATAAACGTGATTATTACAAATGGGCTGCATGTTGTATGGAACCATGGGATGGACCAGCTTTGATTTCATTCACAGATGGTCGCTATGTTGGCGCGATTTTAGATAGAAACGGTTTAAGACCATCTCGATTTTATATCACGAAAGATAACGTTATGGTTATGGCCAGCGAGGTAATTCAATATCGTTTTTATAAATAAAAAAATTAATACAATTTGTTAGGTGGGAGTTTACGATGTTGCACCTGAAAATGTCATCTTTAAAAGTCGTCTAAAACCGGGACGAATGTTACTTATTGACACCGTCGAGAAGAAAGTGATACAAGATATTGAATTGAAAAAAAATATTGCTCATGCAAGACCTCATTCAATTTGGCTAAAAGAGCAGGTGGGTTTTTAATATATATTTTAGTTTCTAGTAAAGTGATAAATTAAAAGTTTTTCACTAAAGTTTTCACAAAAAACGATATATTTTAGGGATGATTATTAATAATTGAACATTTGTCTCTTGTTTTTGCATGTTGCTTTCCTGATATGAAGACGGTGAGTGGTGTGTCTTGGAAAAGTTTGTTAACAAATTATGTTTTATAAATAACTTTGGTATTATTATTCTTTCGTTTTTATGTTGTATATCTGTGTATTTAGCATATCTGTTTTTATAAGCTTCATTTCATTGTTAACATTTTTTTTATTAACACTCAAAAATGTTTTGCTTCCCCAATTCCATTTGACCCTTATTATTAATCAATTATAAATAAATTTAGATTACAATGGAAGAGCTTCGCCAAGCTCATTTAACATCTGGAAATCCAATAAAAGCACCATATCAACCAAGTGGATTAGATGATAAAAGACTTTCACTGTTTGGGTATTCAACAGAGGGAATTCAAATGTTACTTCTTCCAATGATTAATAACAAGTAAATTATTACTTATAAATCTAATAAATTATTAATCTTAATTTTTAATTCATAGGAAAGAAGCTTTGGGAAGTATGGGAAACGACGCCCCATTAGCTTGTTTATCCCAATTCCAACCACTCCTTTATGATTACTTTAAACAACTTTTCGCGCAAGTTACCAACCCACCAATAGATCCTTTCAGGGAAAAAGTCGTCATGTCGCTTCAATGTCCAATTGGTCCTGAATCGAATATTTTAGAACCATCCTCAAAACAAGTCCATCGCCTTTGGCTTCAACAACCGATTCTTTCAATATCCGATTTAGAAGTTTTAAAATTAACTTCCCACCGCAATTGGTCGTGTCAAGTAATTGATATTACCTACGACGCTTTTGAAGGACCGCCAGGTTTAAAAACGCGTTTAGATCAAATTTGTTTAGAGTCGGAAAAAGCCAGCAAGAAAAATGAAATTTTAATCTTATCAGATCGACAAGCCGGGGAAGAACGAGTACCCATAAGCAGTCTTTTAGCTTTAGGCGCCGTTCATCATCACTTAATTGAAACTAGAAATCGTATGAAAGTTGCGTTAGTAATTGAATCTGGCGAACCAAGAGAAGTCCATCACATCTGCGTTCTTCTTGGTTATGGTGCAGACGCAATTTGTCCTTATTTAGCTTTAGAATTAGCGTCAAGTTTAAGAGATACCGGCGTTTTAGATGGTGGTTTCACCGACGAGATTATCTATCAAAATTACGCCCAAGCTATGCAAACCGGAATTAGCAAAGTTATGGCTAAAATGGGAATTTCAACGTTACAATCTTATAAGGGAGCTCAAATTTTTGAAGCGATTGGTTTGGGGGAGGATATTATTGATAAATGTTTTAAAGGTACACCTTCTCGAGTTGGAGGTCTTCCTATGGATATGTTGGCTATTGAAATTTATGAACGACATAGAAATACTTATAAAAAACAACCGGATACTTTAGTTTTAAAAGATATTGGGGTGTATCATTATAGAACAGGTGGAGAAAAACATATTAATGATCCTGCTAGTATTGCGTCTCTTCAAGTAAGTTATTTGAGGTTGTATATACAAGGTGTTTCTAAATTGATGTGAAAGATTTTAAGGAGTTATTTTTCAGCAAAAATTAACTTAATTAACTTTTTGTTCAAAACCCCTTCCCCACCAAGTTATAACACTCTAAAGTTAGAGGGAAAAAATCGTTTTTATTTAATAAATCCACTATGGAGGAATTTAGAAGAATGAAATGAAGTTATGTCAAATTGATCTCAGCATTATTTTATTTTTTGTGATCAAACTAACTGAGATAAGAGAGTTGCAGATTTTTCTTTTAACTTTAGAGCGCTATAACTTGGAGAAGAAGGAGTTTTGAACAAAAAGTTGTGTGAAAGACACCCCTTATTTTTTGCCGAAAAATCACCCCTTAAAATCTTACCCCTAAAATCGCATCAATTTAGAAACACCCTGTATATAGTTGATTAAAGTGATAGATTTAAAAATTAAAACAAAACGCAGCGAAACTCTTTCTTTCATTTGTTATGTTTATGGCAGAAGGTAGTTTCAAGATTGGCATGAAAACTTATTATATTTGCCATCCAAAGGAATTCATTCCATACTGCCATCTTAACAAAGAACAATTGTTAACAGTAAATTAGAAAACTTCTTTTGCAACTTTATCTTCATCACTTTAAATCAACACTCTCATATATATTTTTGCCAAAACTAATTTTTTTGTCACCTTATTTAGGAAGCAGCATCATCTAAAAGTCAAAACGCTTATGATAAATTTAGAGAAGCAACAATGGCTGCAGTAAGAAGTTGCCTTCTTCGAGGTAGATTAGAACTAAGAACTTTAGATCAACCTTTACCACTTTCAGAAATAGAACCGGCCTCCGAAATTGTTAAAAGATTCAACACTGGCGCGATGAGTTTTGGTTCTATCAGCATGGAATCCCATTCAGCTTTAGCTGTAGCTATGAATAAAGTATAATTTCGCCACGAGTTTTATTATCTCTCTAATCCTTTTTCTTATTTAGATTGGTGGAAAAAGTAATACAGGTGAAGGTGGCGAAGATCCAGCTCGTTATTTAGATTCGCAAAGACGTTCGGCAATTAAACAAGTTGCTTCGGGTCGTTTCGGCGTAACATCGTCCTATTTAGCCCACGCCGATGATTTACAAATAAAAATGGCGCAGGGTGCTAAACCTGGTGAAGGTGGCGAACTCCCCGGTTTTAAAGTATCGGCGGAAATTGCGAAGATGCGTCATTCCGTTCCTGGGGTTGGTTTGATTTCGCCTCCACCTCACCACGATATTTATTCAATTGAAGATTTAGCCGAACTGATTTACGATTTAAAATGCGCCAATCCTATGGCGAGAATTTCCGTTAAATTAGTTTCTGAGGTTGGAGTTGGTGTTGTTGCTTCTGGAGTTGCTAAAGGAAAAGCTGAACATATCGTTGTTTCCGGGCAAGAAGGTGGGACTGGAGCTAGTTCTTGGACTGGTATTAAAAATGCTGGGTTACCTTGGGAATTGGGGGTTGCAGAAACTCATCAGGTGTTAGTTTTGAACAATCTAAGATCTAGGATTGTTTTACAAGCTGATGGAAATATCAGAACAGGTGATTAAAAATGATTTAATTCTTGGAATCATTTTAATTTGAATTAATTATGTTTAGGTTTCGATGTAATTGTTGCTGCTATATTAGGAGCAGATGAAATGGGTTTTAGCACTGCCCCACTAATTGCTATGGGATGCACAATGATGCGAAAATGCCATTTAAACACTTGCCCAGTTGGAATAGCCACGCAAGATCCGATTCTTCGCAAAAAATTCACTGGTCAACCGGAACACGTCATCAATTACTTCTTTATGTTAGCGGAAGAAGTTCGATTACACATGGCTGCTATAGGTGTTCGGAATTTCCAACAATTAATTGGACGAACGGATCTTTTAAAACCCCTCGAATCCGGAAGTAACAAAGCGAGATGTCTCAACTTAAACATGATCTTACAAAATGCTCTTCATATGCGACCTGGAGTTAATATCGTCGGGGGTTCAGAACGTCAAGATTTTCAATTAGAACAACGATTAGATAACGAATTAATCAAAAATTGTCAAGAAATCATTGATGGAACTAAAAAGGAAGTTAAAATCAATCTTAAAATCACCAATGAATGTCGTGCTTTCGGCTCAACTTTAAGTTATTATATTTCAAAGAAATACAACGAAGAAGGATTACCTGACGGTCAACGTATTTTAATAAATCTAACTGGAAGTGCCGGCCAAAGTTTTTGTGCTTTCTTAGCGAAAGGAATTACGTGTATTTTAGAAGGTGATGCGAATGATTATGTCGGTAAAGGTTTATCAGGAGGAGAAGTAATTATTTATCCTCCAAAAGCATCGCCGTTTGAATCACATTTAAACGTAATCGTGGGTAATGTTTGTTTATATGGCGCAACTTCCGGTAAAGCCTTCATGCGGGGTATCGCATCAGAAAGGTTCGCTGTGCGAAATTCTGGTGCGACAGCCGTTGTTGAAGGCGTCGGTGACCACGGTTGCGAATACATGACTGGAGGAACTGTTTTAATTCTCGGATTAACCGGAAGAAACTTCGCTGCGGGAATGTCAGGTGGAATTGCGTACGTTTGGGATATCGATGGTTCATTTTCAATGAAATGTAATCCAGAAATGGTCGAATTATGTAAATTGGAAGAAAAAGATGATGTTAGTTTGGTTAAGGGATTATTAAAAGAGTTTATCGAAAAAACCGGAAGTGTTCTCGCTGAGAAATTATTAAATGATTTTGAAACGTATCGTTCTCAATTCGTTAAAGTATTCCCATATGAATATCAAAGAGCTTTGAAGAGTATGAAACAAATCGAAGAAAATGGGGTTAAAACTAATAACGTTGCAAAACCGGCCGTGAATGGTTTTGAACCGAAAATTCAGGATATTGAGGATGTTATTCCGGATGGTGTTGTTGAACAAAAAAAATTAGATAAAATTCGCGGGTTTATGAAATATCCCAGAGAAACCGGACTTTATCGTCCGGCTGAAAAGCGATTGAAAGATTGGGATGAAATTTATAATTTCACCCACGTGCGGAAAGGTTTACGTATTCAAGCAGCTCGTTGTATGGATTGTGGCATTCCATTTTGTCAGTCGAATAGTCATGGTTGTCCGTTAGGTAATATTATACCTAAATGGAACCATTTGGTTTATCAAAATAATTGGAAGGAAGCTTTGGCCCAATTACTTCAAACAAATAATTTCCCAGAATTTACTGGACGTGTTTGTCCAGCACCATGTGAAGCTGCTTGCGTTTTAGGCATTTCAGAACCTAGCGTAACCATTAAGAACATCGAATGCGCAATTATCGACCATGCTTTTGAGCAAGGTTGGATTAAACCACAACCACCAACTGTAAGAAGTGGAAAAACTGTTGCTGTTGTTGGTTCTGGCCCGGCTGGTTTAGCTTGTGCAGCACAATTAAATAAAGCTGGACATTTAGTAACCGTTTTTGAAAGAAACGATCGTATTGGTGGTCTTTTAGAATATGGAATTCCAACGATGAAATTAAGCAAAACCGTTGTGCAAAGGAGAGTTGATTTAATGGCAGCTGAAGGAGTTATTTTTAAAACGAATGTTAACGTAGGAAAAGATATTTCAGCAAAAGAATTGAGTGAAGAATACGATGCGGTTGTTTTATGTACTGGGGCTACATGGCCTAGAGATTTACCAATCCCTGGGCGGCAATTAGGTGGGATACATTTCGCGATGGAATTTTTAGAGTCTTGGCAAAAACGCCAATTAGGTACAAACCAACCTGGTCCTCACGCTAAAGACAAAGATGTCATAGTAATCGGAGGTGGCGACACCGGATGTGATTGCATCGCAACGTCTTTAAGACATGGTGCAAAATCAATAGTGACATTTGAAATTTTACCAGAACCGGGACCTAAACGTGGTAAAGATAATCCTTGGCCTCAATGGCCGAGAATTTTCAAAGTTGATTATGGACACGAAGAGGTTAAGATTAGACACGGAAAAGATCCTCGTGTTTTCAGCATAATGACGAAAGAATTTATTGATGATGGTAAAGGAAATATTAGTGGGATTCGTACCGTGAATATCGATTGGGAAAAAGATGATAGTGGCCGTTGGGAAATGAAACAAAAACCGGAAACTGAGAAAGTTTATCCCGCTGATTTAATACTTTTAGCGATGGGATTCTTAGGACCAGAACGATCAATTTCCGATCAATTAGATTTAGATTTGGATGCTAGATCGAATTATGAAACGAATAATTATCGTACAAATATTAATAATGTTTTTGCAGCTGGAGGTAATTAAAATTTTATTTTAATGAATTATGTATTTAATTTTTTTTTTGTTTAGATTGTCGTAGAGGCCAATCTTTAGTTGTTTGGGCAATATCAGAAGGTCGTCAAGCAGCACGAGCTGTCGATGAATTCTTTAAAGGTGAATCAGCACTACCAGGTCCTGGAGGAATAATCCAACCAAATCCAAACCCGGTTTTTTGCCCCGTTTAAAACCTATCAAGTATTAAAACTTTGAGAATTTCTTTTTTAAAACTTTAAATATAGGAATAATCAACAATAATTCGAGAAATTTTAAAAAATCAATACGTTTCGAGTCAGATCTCTTTTTCTTTCTTATTTTTTTATACTTTTAAGATTTTAAGTTTCCACGGATCTGGTTTTATACACAAACAAGCGTTGTGATTAAAAAACGAAGAAATTTTCCTTTTTAATTTAAAAAAATTTAAGATCTTTGGAGTCTTTGTATTTTATGTGTTTAAGAAAGGTGTAGATAGGCGAAAATGTTGGCCGTGTTGAATTCGATTTTCATCATGGGGTTCTAGTTAAAACTTTTTGAATTAAAATATATGTTGTTATAAAATAAAGAAAATTAAATAGTTGTTTTTGTGTTTTAATGAGTCATTCTTATTATAATAACTACAGTATAACATCGATATAACGGAGAAAATACGCACGGCCAAATATGTGTATTATATATATTATGTATTGTGGCCTATGTGTGACGTCACGAACGGGCCTTCGAGCTGTGCACCTATTCCCGGGATGCAGCAATCTTAGATTTTACCGTTGTCCGAATTTGTGTGCATTAATCCGTTATATCGAAGTTTTAAGTAGTAACAAGAATGTAATTCAAAAACAGCTGTATAATTAATCCAACCCAATCCAATAAAATTTCCATAGTAACAGCCCTCACCTTATCATTGTAAACAAAAGATGGTCCTGCATTGCAGCAGTGACAAGTTTCCCTTCAAAACCTTCTACAAATCATCTTAAACAAGCCATTTTTTAAACAAGAAATGGCAAATTCGACCGCTAGCGTGACTTCCTTGGCACAAAAACCCGGTACAACTAGCAGTACCTCATCGAATATACCATTATTAAACAGGTTTTTGAACGTTTTAACGTCAACTTGAAGTGTTTTTAATCAATTTATGTTTTTAATTTAATCTTTTCAGAAAGAAAAGTTGCGATACGCTTTGTTCGTCAAATACAAGCTGTTACGTACAAAAACGAAAACCCCATCCTTTAGCAGCTTCCATACGATATACAAATAGAGGAAATCCAAAAAATGCTGTTAATCAACGCGTTTTATCAGCTAAACTTATTAAATTAAGATCGGTCCAAAGTCAATTAAATGATGCTAATTTTCATTTAGCGGTAAGTAATCAAATTTAGATCAAAATATATTAATATTGTTATTTTTTAAGGAATTAGCGAAAGAAAACCAAGCTTTGCGTAATTTACAAAGAAGACAAGATAAAGCATTAAAAAAGTATTCGTTTAAAACAAATTAAATATAATTTAATTAACATTTAATTAATTTAAGTTATGAAGGTGCCGATGCTGAATTACCAAGATTAATCAAAAAGCACGAAGAAGAACTCCGAGTAGTTCAAGATAAAAATAAAAATCTCAAAAAAGCGTTGCGAGAAGTTATAGATCAATTAAAAGCAAAAGATGATGAATTAAATAATGTAAGGAGTCAACTAAAACATTTAACCTCGTTAACAAAAGATAAACACTTGGGTGAAAGAGAAAAGTTAAAACGAGAATTAGAAGAATCAAAATTAAAAATAAATGATTACGAGAAAGAAATAAGTATGTTAAATAGACGCTTAATGTTGGAATCTAAAAATGCCAAGTACAAATTGAACAAGGAAGTTGCAAAACACAAACAATGCCAAAAAGATTTAACTCAAGTTATGGAGGAGTTAAACAAAAATGGCCACTATGTACCTGAATTAAACAACGAGATGAAACAAACGATTGCAAATCGAAAAAAAATTTTAACTCAACGACCATCGATTACATCGATTCGATTAAAAGCTGAAAGTACCCCAGATTTAATCGCCGACCCTTCAACTGTTGATCTTGAATCAACAACCGATTTACTAAAATTAGATCCAATTGATAATAAAATCGAAGATATTAGTGGACCAAGAAGCATTTTAAAATCTCCCGCTGAATCGGTTAAAAATCGTTTAACTTCCGGTCGTTCAAATAACGAATTACCTACCTCTTTAATGAATTTGTCGTTGGACGGAGAAAAAGTTGCGATAAAAAACAATTTTTTGAAAACAAATCCTTTACATCGTACACTTTCCAATCACAAAATAGATTTACTTTCAGAAACGGTTGAAAATAATTTAAAGAAAACAACAGCTGAAAGAGAACCTGAAGAAACCGAGTTAGGTAATTACTGTTTAAACGTAATGAAATCGGTTAAAACTATGAATACAATGGTGGAAAGACACACATTCGATTACGAAGCTTGTTCAGAAGATACAACGAAGATTTTAGAAAAATTGAAAGAAGTTGATTTGGCTGATTCGATAATTCGCAAGAAAAAAATTGAGGTGAATGATGAATCGAAAGCGGCTGAAAAAGATTTAGAGTTGGTTAATAAGATTTGGGGTGATGAATATAATTTTCAAAAGACGAATAAAAATACTGATAAGAACGGGAATCTTAAAGAAGTTAATTATGAAGAGAAAAAGAAGCTTTTAGCTACTTTAAGGGCTATCGATAATGGGGAGCTTGATGATAATATTGGTGGTGATCTTAAACATAAAAGTAAAAAGGATATTATGACGGAATTATTTGGACGGGGATGTCAATAGGAAACTACCTTGTAAAGATTTTTTTATATTTATATATTATTTATATTTTGTATATTGTGTATAGTAATAAAATTTTATAACAAAAAATTGTTTAAAAATGAAGAAAATGTTTAGTAAAAACTGTTAATTATAAGAAAATTATGAAATAAAATTATATCAATATATTATTCTTACAATTTTAAACTTATTTCTAAATTTTCAATTTATTATTTATAATTTATATATTTTTTTTTACTTTTAGTTGATTTTGTTCTCTGAAAATTCATTTATGAAACGTTTTCGTAAGAAGTTTTATTTATTTAATATCAAGGTGGAGTTTCGCACTTAACGATTTAATTCGAACAACTTAAGATAATCAAAACTCTTTGGAGACCTCTTTTCCTTTGTTACTTGAGGTCTTTAATCTTACTGTATATTATATATGAAGTACAATAAAATGTCATTGAAAGGTAAGTAAAATACGAATCTTTAAAAAAATTTTCATTATCCGTCAAGTTTTCAGGTAATTTTAGAGAACATAATATTTCCTAGGATCCAACTCTTGAAAATGTGGAGAAATTAGGTAAACGGATGATTTTTAATCATACCTCAAAAATTCTTATTAGTTGTGTTCAAATTGATATTAATTAGTTTGTAGTGCTCAAAATGGAACATCTGGACGAAAAACTAATACTTCTTTCAACGGCTGCGGTGTGTATTGTGAAGAAAAAGAAGGACTTGAAGGCTAATAGGAAAAAATGATGTAAACCATGCTTGTTACAGAGGGATATGTTTTCCCATACCAATTTAATGGCTGAACTACGTAATGAGCCTCATGGACGTGCGATTACCCCCCATGAGTGGCTATCAGCTACGCAGAAATTTTTGGCAACAGGAAGAAGTTACAAGGAATTGAAATTTTCAACAGTTATTTCCAAATCAGCTCTAAGCGCCATAATTCCAGAAACATGCTACGCAATTTACAAGGCATTAAAAGACACATATCTCAAGGTAAGTTTTTTTCCAAAAAATATACTCATCAAATTAATAATACGCAATAATATGGGTTGGTTAATATAATAAATGCGTAGGTAATATAAATTATGTTGCTGCATCCTCGAAATCACTGAGGTTGCAAAACAAATCTGCAATTCTTTGCTGAGTGTTTAATGATTGCTGAGAATTGGTTGATGGTTGAGTCTGCAATGAATACTGAGTATAGCATAGAGTCTGAATATTGCTTGTACGTTCCTGTTGCATTTGTAGAAAGCAATTACGATTCAAGATTTCCAACTATGCCTCATAGAACACGTCGTTTATTATTTTTTCTGCGTGCACAGCTTGTTGTGGATCGAGGTCTCTCAATTTTGATGCCCATGATTTCCCAATATCAGAAAATCCATCTGCAGTACAAATCGAAGGTTGAGCCAATCGTGTTCCAATCACATCTAACAATTCGTCACATTTATTTTTGAACCACAATGAATATTATACGCATCACACACTGCAATACTGATCGTAAATAATTAGACATCGGATTATATGCACTAATAATATGACAAAATATGCATGCAATTATGCTTTCAAAAAGGGTCAAATATGCACAAAATATGCACTGGTTAAAAGAAAAATGATGATAAGTTATAGTATCCTTATACTTTTAATTTATACCAATGGTATTAAGGGCTACAGGTGGTAGTAGGTTATCAGCATTTCAATGCACATGTCTAAGATCGAAACTCAGGCTCATGCCAAAACACCAACCTCAAGCCGATATTCTGTTAAGACAGATTTTACTCAAGCTATATTTTTTGGCTTGCGCAAACTCAAGCCAATTTGCGCAGTTTGCCTTTAAGACAGCTAAATCCGAATGTTTCTACTTCTAGATCTAGTATTAGTTTCAAATCAAAATTTGAGGTAAAGAACAAAAAAATATGTATTTTAAATTCCATAAATCAACAAAAAATATTTTTATTTTACATTTTTTAAATCTAAAATTAATTCTTTCATTAACACCTTAGGATAAGAATCATCAAAAACGCTCAAACAACTTAAAGCCGATGATATTAATTCGTTTCTAAATTCGAAACTTTCATCTAAACTTCCGCTTTGAACCAAATTAAAAATTAAATCTTCATAATTAATTTGGTACAAATTATTTTCAATTTCTTTATAAAATTCCGGGTGTTTTTTTAAATATATATAAACTAATAAATTCGTTAAAGAAATATGATTTGTCTTTAAAACTTCGTAAATATCTTCGTTGGCCTTTAAAATCAAAGCGAAATACTTTCCGAAGTTAAACCCGACGTTTTGAATACTTTCTGGTAAATTACCGAATCTGAAAACGCTTGAAATCCCTTTACCCAACAAATTCCCGGCGTTTAAAGAATTTCTTATGATCCATTCGTTTATAGGGTGGCCCAAAACGGTTTTATAATCAAATAATTCACTTGAAAAATTATTTAAAATTGAAATTTCTTGTTTCAAATCAAAATTATTTTTGGGTTTTGATGGATAAGGTTTCCCATTTTGATCCATAGGTCCCAATGTTCTTCCCAATGTTAAATCTCTTAATGCCGAAGACATGTATTCAACGTAATAATGATCTTTTAACGTGACTAAAGAATATAAACATTTCGTTAGAAGATAATCCCCGCAGAGTAACGATATTTTATTCCCTTTATGTAATCGTTTATTTAATGGTGTTGTATTAACGATATCGTTATGAAGAAGGATAGCCATTCGTAACATTTCTGTTACTTTAGACAGAATTATTTGATCGTTATTAATTTGGAGGGAATTTTTTGGAATTTGCGAGCTTAAATTTACTACTAAACCATAAGAAATTGATTTGTTGTTTATAAATTCGCTGAAATTAAATTTTTGTTTGTTGATGCAAATAAAAATTGTTTAATTTAAAAATAAAAACCTTATTGTGTTTAATACAGGATGCATCGTCCCGGATAAACTCTTAAAATAACCTTTAACGTTGGTGTCGTCATCGTTTAGCAACCAATCTAAGTTTTTGAAAATGTTTCCTCCTGTAACCCGATCGATTTCAGTCATTAAGCTATCGGTTGGTAGACGTCGGGGGGCGGTTTGAAGAAATCTTTGAAAATTTAGTTTTAAAGCCATTTCTATAATCATTAAAATCAAAAACTGAAGTGACTAAAACATGGTAATCTTACTGTTTTTTGTGTTGTAACTATTATTTTTTTTTATATTAATTCAATTATTCTTCTTACTTAAGGTGTGAGTTTTGACAATTATTAAGTTTAAGCAAAGGCGATTGTTGCAAAATGACAACTTGCTCAGTAAAAAAAATGATATGATTAACAAATCATTACTTACTTGATTTTAAATCTTATTATAGTTAAGGTTATTACTAAAAATAATGCTATTTTGAAAAATAGCTTTTAATTTTGAGAAAACAATATTTGAAGTTTTGATAAAGTTTTTGATGTTGCAATTTTCATCGATAATTTTCAAAATTCGCTATAAAATTAATTTCTTGAAGGATTCTTGTGGAAATATCACCATTTGTTAATTAAAGTAACCTCTTTTTAATGCAAAAAGCCGTTTTGAAAAATCACTTTCAGTTCTTGAGAAATAAATTTTTGAAATGATCGACAATTTTTTCGAATTTTGCAATTTTCGCCGATTAAGATTTAAAAATTCGTATAAAATCGATTTCTTGGAGTATGAAAAATTCCCTAAATGTTAATAAAAGTGTCCTCTTTCCAATGAACCAACCCGTTTTGAAAAATAACTTTTAGTTTTTGAGAAAACAATATACAGGTGTCACACAAAAAACGCCCCAACCTGTAACTCTGTTATTTACATTCCGATTTTTATGGCCTAGGTATCAAATGAAATGGTTTTATAAATACTATGATTCATGCTACAAATAATTTTTTCCAACGCCATCTTCAATTTTAAGCGATTATTAACTTTTGTTTTTCAAATTGCTGCGTATATTTTTCTTCACGTCATTGGATAGAGATTGTTCTTCTGAATCCATTGATGTACAATACATCCATTTTGAATGTAAGTTTAGCAGAGAAAAGACACCTGTAGATACAGGTTGTCACACAAGAATGCCGCAAGCTGTAATTCTGTCATTTACATTCCGATTTTCATGAGCGAGGTATCAAATGAAAAGGTTTGCTGAATACTATGATTCATGCTACAAATAAACTTTTTCCAACGCCATCTTCAATTTAAAGCGATTATCAACTTTTGATTTTCAAATTGCTCGGTAAGTTTTTCTTCACGTTATTGGATAGAGATTTTTTTTCTGAATCCATGAATGTACAATACATCAACATTAATTATAATTGTAGTAGAGAAAAACATTAAAATAGTTTCCGAACATTCTCTTAAAGTCACTTGTGGTATACTGTAGTGTGCCATGGGAAAAAATAAAAAAAAACAACTTATAAGTATCATTTACAACTGCTTCGGGCATTGAAATAACATTTAATGACTGTTATCAGTTTTGCCCGTTATTTTTTTCTATGGCACACTAGAGACAATGTTCGGAAAATGTTTTAATTGTTTTTTTCTGCTAAAATTACAATTAATGTTAATCTATTGTACATCAATGGGTTCAGAAAAAAAATCTCTATCCAATAACGTGATGAAAAACATACCGAGCAATTTGAAAATCACAAGTTGTTAATCGCTTGAAATTGAAGATGGCGTTGGAAAAAGTTTATTTGTAGCATGAATCATAATATTCATCAAACCATTTCATTTGATAGCTGGGTCATGAAAATTGGAAGGTAAATGACAGAGTTACAGCTTTCGGCGTTCTTGTGTGGCAACCTTTATATACAGGTGTCTTTTCTCTGCTAAAGTTATATTCAAAATGGATGTATTGTACATCAGTACATTCAGAAAAACAATCTCTATCCAATGACGTAAAGAAAAATATATAGAGCAATTTGTAAAGCAAAAGTTAATAATCGCTTAAAATTGAAGATGGCCTTGGAAAAAATTTATTTGTAGCATGAATCATAGTATTCATGAAACCATTTCATTTGATACCCCGCTCATGAAAATCGGAATGTAAATGACAGAGTTACAGCTTGGGGCGT